CTGAGATAAAAAGAAGGCTATGTATGACCAAGTACAACATTTGATACACCTGGGGCTTGGAAAATTCCCATCCAGCTGAGTCTCTTTACTCAGAGAGGGATAATTGCTTTCCATTGGTCACATTCCACTTTGTTTCTCAGGTAAATCAGAAATTTTTAACTTCAGTCTTCTGCCGACCTTCTTATCTCAGACCTGTGTTGAGTGTGGTAATAATATCAAAGTCAAATGTTTAGTCTGCAACCAATACCTGCAGATAATGAAAGACTATAGTAATAATTGTTACTGTCCAGTAGTTACATAAAAATACTAAAAAGTGCATTTGGTTTTTCTTGTCACAAATGTGCATTTAGAAATTGTGGAAGCAAGTCTTGATTTATAATTGATTTTCTGTCTGTATTATAAGAAAATAATCAATTTTATAGTAGTAATACCAGTAGTAATATATTACAATAGTGATATAGTAGTAATATCAGCTACCAGCTGATTTCTCAACTTCATTTTATTCTACCTTCTCTTTCCCAAGTATTATTCCTTTTAACCTAGATAACTCTGGGCAGTTTGAACCATTGCCACAATTGAATCATTACATGAATTTATTTTTTCTTGTTATTTTTTAATCCTAAACTTAGCAAATAGCACATAAAACTATCACTTCTGTAAAGTTATTGTTTGTCCTTCCTTCTGGAAGAGAACCATAACATCTGAAAGGTGATGTCATGAGTTGCAAGTGAATTGGATTTAATGAGGCAGCACTGTACAAAAATCACTAGCCTTACTCTCTTCTCCATAGATTGTAGAACTGAGGGATGCACATGAAACTGTAAGTATTGTATATGGCTTGTTTTTCTTTTTAGGTATATGATAAATTTGACATGTTACTTTTTTTTTTTTTGCTTTCTGGTGAGGCAATCGGGATTAAGTGACTTGCCCAGGGTCATACAGCTAGTAAGTATCAAGTGTCTGAGGTCAGATTTGAACTCAGGTCCTCATGACTCCAAGGCGGAGCTCTATCCACCATGCTACCTAGCTGCCCCTGACACATTACTTTCAAAGATGTCCTGTTTATGATTTATCTGGCTTTCTTTCTGTACTTTTTGAAAACATAATTTAATGACTCCTTCCCTCTGAACCTCTTTCCTTCCTTTCTCCCTACTTCCCTCTACCTTTCCTCTCACTTCCCCCTCCTCTTCCATATTGAGGAAAAAAATATTTGTAACAAATATTCATAATAAAAACAAATTACATTTTGTCTGAAAACATCTCATTCTGCAACTTGACTCCATCATATTTCTGTCAGGAAATAGTATGTTTAATCATTCGTCTTGTAAAATTATGTTTGGACTTTGCAATGATTAGTCAATAAGTCTTTCAAAGTTGTTTGTATTTACAATGTTATTGTGTACATAAACCCAGGCAAAGCAGGGGCATTTTGCATGAAATTGTGCTAATTGAGAGAGAATGCTAATGCAAGGGAGCAGACCTGTATGAGGGTGAGAGGTAGAGTTGGTACTGGAGCTTTTGGAGTGGAGAGACATTTGTAGAGAGTATGAATATATTGGCAGACATTTTTGGGGGTTGATGAAAGACAGAGGAAGAGAGATGGGGAAGGGGAGAAAGGAGGGAGGGAGGGGAGAGAGAGACAGGGAGGATAAACTTTGGAAGCTGTAGATTGGGGGAATATGGCTCTTCAACAAATGTCTGATTTTCAGCTTGCCTCTTTACCCTGGAGAACTGGGGGATTTTCCTTTGGGTGAGGTATAGCATTTTTCTTGGTTTGAGGTAAGATATCTCGTTCCTAGCAAGAGAGTTCATTTACTCTTCTGTATTTTCTGATATATTCTAATTTGTATAACATCTCCAATTTCTGATTACTGTGTGATTTGATAAATAGTTTTACTTGATATTTGGTATTTATGATGGTCTTTTGTATAACCAGCATTTTGTGGAAAAGAGCCAAGCCAGCAGGTAAAAAGCTTGGAATAATCTTTCCCCTTTCTTTTCTTTTCTTTTTTTTTTTGTGTGTGAGGCAATTGGGGTTAAGTGACTTGCCCAGGGTCACACAGCTAGTTAAGTGTTAAGTGTCTGAGGTCACATTTGAACTCAGTTCCTTCTGACCCCAGGGCAGGTGCTCTATCCACTGTGCAATTAATTTTTCCTCTTTAAACTAAGACATAGCAACTAGGGAAGTGACTTTATGTTTTGAACCTAAAAATCTTTTTTTCTTTTTTTAAAATTTTATTAATTTATTTTGATTTATCAACAATCACTTCCATATGCTTTTGAGTTGAAAATTTTTCTCCCTCTTCCTCCCCCCCCAAGATGGCTACACAATCTGATATAGGCTTTATATTTACATTCCTATTAAACATATTTTCACATTAGTGAAGTTGTAAGTAAAAATTAAAACCAATAGGAGGAACCATCAGAAAGATGAAACAAAACTCAACAGAAGGTAAAAATAAGTGATAGCGATTCGACTTCCATAGTTCTTTCTTTGGATGTGGACAGCATTTTCCATCCCAAAGCCTCTGGAGATATCTTAGATCCTTGTAATGCTGAGAAGGGTTCAGGTTAACAATATTAGTCATCGCATAAGGTGGCTGTTATTGTGTACAAAGTCCTCTTGGTTCTGCTCACTTCACTCAGCATCAGACCATATAAGTCTTTCCAGGTTTTTCTGAAGTCAGCCTGTTGAACCTAAAAATCTTGCCCCTAGACCAGCAATATTTAGGTGGACAGACACAATTCTAATCTGGTACTCATCTCAGAGACTGGAGAGAGCCCAGTCTCATCATCCTTCTACTGCCTTCAGTGAAGGAATTGCAATCTTCCTTGGAGAGGACCCATAATAAAGAATGTTACCTACCTCCTGGCATTCTCCTGTTGCAGGAATTCTCAATGTTGCAGTATCAGTGATGTTGATTAAACATACCAACAGATTATTCTGTTGCAGAAGATATAATAATGATAACCCTGAAATGCTGGCTAATTAGGTTCTGGTAGTACTACTAATTGGATTAATTTACATAGCAACTGCTGCTATGGGTAAAAAAAAATAGGGCAGCTGAGGGTTTCAGAAGGGCCCTACTCAAAATCATTGTGATGATCAGATCAGCTTGATTCAAGATAGCAGGGCAAGGAGCACCTTGTTATGGTGCCTTCCTTAGTACCACAAGAAGACAAAATAAAACAGAGCAAGGCAGAAATAATAATAACCCACCTACTAGAAACGATTCAGTGCAGTTGGTACTGACCGCAAAAATGGACAAACCACAAGAAGATATGAAATGAACAGAGACATGAATGCTTTCATTAAGCATCAGTACTATATCATAAAATTGGACAGATTTTTACCAGTTTTAGGCAAAAGACTCCTTTTTTAGGGGGGTGGTGTTGGACAATGGGGGTTAAGTGACTTGCCCAGGGTCACACAGCTAGTAAGTGTTATGTGTCTAAGGTAGGATTTGAACTCAGGTTCTCCTGAATTCAGGGGTAGTGCTCTATTCACTGTGCCACCTACCGGCCCCCCTTGGGAAAAGATTCCTATTGCTTTCTGTCATTAGCATCCTTAGCTATATCACATGACAACAAACATCTGACTAGTGCAGGGAAATAGTAAGAAATAACTTTATCCCTGAGTCTAGATTAGATGAAGTCAAGGATTTACTAAAACTGAAGAGGAAAAAGTTGAAGTACATAAGGTCACTGAAAACCTTCATTTAATACATAGTCCAGAAATTTTATTTAGAAATTAAATGGTTGACAGAAACAGTATTGGTATCTCAAATGGGTTTTTTGTCTGAGATAATATTTTTATATAAATTTATTTTTAGTTTTCAACATTTACTTCCACAAGATTTTTAGTTTCAAATTTTCACCCCATCTCGCCACCCCAAGATGGCATGCATTCTGAATACCCACCCTTGTCTTATCCCCTTCCCCTTCTATTTTCCTGTGGGGCAGGATCTCAAATGGTTTTGAAAGGAGATCAAATAATGAGGATGCTCCAGTGGAGACCTTATAGGATCACAGATTTAGAACTAGAAGGAAACTGAGGTACAGAGAATTAAGGAAAGAATGAACAACATTTGTTGGGTAAACAAAGTTTGTCCAAAGTGTACCTCCTCTTTCAATGTTGACTTCAATTCCACAAATTCAGCAACAGAACTGTGCTAGAGAGTAAAATACAAAGTTTAGAAAAGACAAGGTCCCTTTCCTTTACAGGCCTTGCAATAAAGCACAGGTATAAGAAGCGTTATACAGTAAGGACAATACACCATAATATAAAAGCACTTTAGAGGTGGAAAATAAAGTGTTATTTGAAGTCAGGGTGGAAATGATAATTACCCATAGGGGTTGAGAGGTAAAGATCCCTAAAAGGCAATTGAAGAGAAGACAGTTTGAGCAAAGCCACTGCCTTGTGGGAGCTTGGGTGTATTTAGCAAATGAATTAGTCCATTTTGGCTCGAGTGTAGAGGGAAGCACAGCGAGGAATAGTATGGGATTTTGTGGGAATGAAGGGCCTTGAATCCAGGCAAAAGAATTTAGAATTGTATTTGGTGGACAATAAAGAGCCACGGAAGCTTTTAGAGCAAAAGAATGGCGGGGCCAGATCTGTGCCAAAGGAAACTTGCTTTAACAGTGGTATGAAGGCTGTATTGGAAGAGAAATAGAGTGCAGTTGGAAAAACTCGAAAAGGGGCAGCTAGGTGGCGCAGTGGATAGAGCACCAGCCCTGAAGTCAGGAGCACCTGAGTTCAAATTCGACCTCAGATCAAATACTTGACACTCACTACTAGCTGTGTGACTCTGGGCAAGTCACTTAACCCCAATTGCCTGAAAAAAAAAAACCTCGGAAGTAGGACATTGCAGTAGACCAAGGTAAAAGGTCTGAGTGCACTTCGTCGAGGGGTGGGGAGGAGGAGGGCCGCGGGGACGGAGAACCGTCTTTTTTCCAAAGCGTTAACTATATGACCTTTCTTTGAGGGGTTAAAAAGACTGAACACTGGTGGGGTTAGCGGTTCGGAGAGGGGGAGGAATTAAATTTCACTCATAGTTAGTGATGAAATTTGGTATCTAATTTCCCTGGTCCATAGCACTTCGTTCTTGGGACACCGCCCCCTTCCGCGGCCACTCAAGTTTCTTCATTCTCCAATCCCTCCGCAAAACTCCTTCAAATCACTCCACGCCTTCATCGCGGCCACTTTTCCCAGGCTCAAGCGCAGGGGAGGCAGGGCTTCCTGAGCAAGAGGAGAAGCATCATTACAGCCGTCGACCAATTGCAGCGCGGCTCCTCCCAGCGGTTCTGATTGAAATTTGCGCCCGCGGAAGACTTTGCAGGGAATTTGAGCAAGTGTGAGGGGTAAGCTTGCCGCGTCTGTCCCGGATCGGACCTGCCTGCATCCACGGGCTCCACCGGGACTGAGCCTAGCTGGGAAAGGTAGCGGCTCGAAACTGCAGCCATGAGGTGCGGGCTTGCGGAGGGAACAGAGGGGTCAGAGACCGCTGGGCGACTGGACTTTGTTCTGGCCAGGGCCAGGGGTAGGGGGCGGCTTGTTCTGCCGGGTGGGTTATTCGCCCCTTCCCTTGGAGGTCGCACCTGCGTCTTTTCGACCCGGCCGTGCCCTTCTTCCCTGCCCCCGCAGTTATTGATACTTATTTTAAGCAAGCATTCAGCAGATACTTGTTAAGCGGTTGCTACGTGCAGAACACTGGGCTAGGCGCCTGGGAAAATGCAAACTTTAGAGGCAGCGTGGGAAAAATGGTTCGCTTGGAGTCAGGAACACCTGGGTTCGAATCCCGTGTTTGGTTATCTGGGTCACTTAACCAAGCAGATGGCTTAACTTTACTGAGTTTTTGAGTTTCCTTATCTATGAAATGGGAATACTATCTATATAGTACCTGAGTTGTGAGGCTCGAGTGAGATAGATAATGCATGCAAAGTATCTTGCGGATGTTAGTGTCCGTTGTAAATATCATGTTACCTCCAAGCTGAGGTTAGGGCATGAGCACATTGGAGCTTCGGATCTTGAATGAATGCATGAAGAAACGTTTAAGAGCTTAACATAAACCGTGCTAAGCAGTGGAGATACAAAAGCAAGATACAGCCCTTGCTCTCAAGGAACTTACATTCTAATAAGGAGGGAGGACCTCACATTACTAGAGGAGCAGTGTTAGGGAAGTCAGGAGGATCTTGTGTGGAGGCCTGGAGCCATTTTTTGGACAGTTTTTTCCGGAAATGATGGATTGATCGGATTATCCTTTCTTGAGCCAGAGGTGGAAAGAGTAAGGGGGCTGGTGGGTTGATTTGATTCAAGAGGGGGAAAGCATACGCTTGGCAGGTAGAAAGCTGGGGAATAACCCTGTGTGTGAGTGTGTTGGGGGTGGTGGTGTATGTCTAGATCAGATTAGAAATGGTTAAGATTCACCAGTCAGAAGCTAAAATTCCCAGGGGCGAGTCAAGAAGATAATGGAGGAACTTAACTAGCAACTAACACTAACATTTCTTAAGCACCAGCTTTAGAGAATAAAAGAAACAGAAGGAATAGTCTCGGCCCACAAGGGGCTATACACTCACTTCTGGGCCTCTGCAATACTTATAAATTGCAGTGGTGTGGGAAACAGTCTGGACTTGGAGTTGAGAGAGATCTGGGTTCAAATCCAGTGCTTAGCTCAGTGTCAGACATACTACTGTGCTTCTACCCAGGGGCATGATGCGGTCAAGTAGTCAACTGGCCCGAGCCTGTTTTCTTCAGAGGATCATAGATTTGTATCTGAAAGGAATTGTAGAGATCTTCCATCTGTGAAATGAAGCTAACCCCCAAGTACTGTAGTCACTCCTTTACAGGATTGTGAGGTCAAGTGAAATAGTACAAGTAGAGCAAAAGCAAGAAAACCCGTTAGCCTTTCCCTTTATCTTTGGTGCCTCAGTTGTAGAAGCCACATATAACATGGGGCAAACAGCCACAGATCTTTTAGCATGAGGAAAGTGGAGTAGGGAGCCCAAGGACATTTTCATTTCAGGTATTAATCAAATAATCAAAAGCAGGGTAAGCATCTGTGGACACACAAAGCAGGTGCCCTGAAAATCTTAGAAAACAATTGATTGGTCAGGCTGGTTTGGATTTCCAGCCTATTTGTTGGTCTCAGACTGTTCTGGAAGTTGAAGAACAGTGAATGAATTGAGGGAAAAGCACTGTTACTATTTATCACACTAAAGTGTGGGGAGACTGCAATTCAAGCTACTACTTTGAACAATAGTCTCACAAGAGGGTTTTTTTTTTATGTGTGTCCTTAAAGGTATGACCCCTCTACCCTGTCAGCTGGGACATTTTAAAATACAATGAAATTGGGAAGAGGAGCTATAAACATACTGTTGTTGTTTTTTCTTTTTTAAAAAATTTTATTAATTTATTTTGATTTATCAACGATCACTTCCATATGCTTTTGAGTTTAAAATTTTTCTCCCCCTTCCTCCCCCCCACCCTCCCCAAGATGGTGCACAATCTAATATAGGCTATATATTTACATTCCTATTAAACATATTTTCACATTAGTGAAGTAAGTAAAAATTAAAACCAATAGGAGGAAACATCAGAAAGAGGAAACAAAACTCAACAGAAGAGAAAAAAAGAAGATAGCAATTCAACTTTCACAGTTATGATTACTATCCACGTCTTTTTCTCCATCCTTTCCCCCCATTTATGCTTTTCTTTCTCCTCTCTCCCTTCTCCCCCTCACCAGTACTTTGCTTTTGACCACCACCTCCTTTAGTCTCTCCTTTCTATTTGCCCCCCCCCCTTTCCCTCTGCTGTAATAGGATGTTCTGTCTTTTCCTGTAATGTAATTTACCCTTGTCTGCCTCCTCCTTTCTCAGTACGTTTTCTAAGGTCAGACTAATCCACTTACTTGGATCCATTTAACCTACTCCATTAGATTTTTTTTTATCATTATCAAAGTCAGCTAATATCCACCCTCTTTATGTATACTCCTTTAACTTGGTGGTGTAATAACAATACAATTCTCAAGAGTTGCAAGTGTCATCTTCCCTTGTAGGGATGTAAACAGTCCGCCCTTATTAACAAACATTTTGTATCTTTCTGTCCCATGTACCTTTTTATGTTTTTCTTGAATCTTGTACTTGAAGATCAAATTTTTTGTTGAGCTCTGGTCTTTTTATGAGGAAGGTTTGGAAGTCCCCTATTTCATTGAATATCCATCTCCTCCCTTGAAAAATCATGCTTATTTTTGCAGGGTAGCTGATCCTTGGCTGCAATCCAGGGCTCCTTTGCCTTGTGGAATATCATGTTCCACGCCCTGCGGTCTTTTAATGTAGAAGCTGCAAGGTCCTGTGCAATCCTGACTGTGGTTCCATGATATTTAAATTGTTTCTTTCTGGCTGCTTGCAGCACCTTCTCTTTCATCTGGTAATTTTGGAATTTTGCTATTATATTCCTTAGTGTTGTCAAGGTTGTGATCTCTTTCAGGTGGTGAGCTGTATATTCTTTCTATGGTTATTTTACCTTCTGGTTCTAGGACTTCAGGGCAGTTTTCCTTTATGATTTCTTGAACAATACTGTCCAAGTTCTTTTTCTCATCATGATTTTCAGGTAGTCCAATGATTTTTAAATTGTCTTGCCTAGGTCTATTTTCCAGTTCAGTTGTTTTACTGATGAGGTATTTTATGTTTTCATCCATTTTTTCATTTTTTTGTTTCTGTTTGACTGATTCTTGCTCTCTCATAGAGTCATTAGTTTCCATTTGTCCAATTCTAGTTTTTAACAGATTGTTTTCTTCTGTTTTTGTACTTCCTTCTTCAGTTGGCCAATTGTATTTTTAAGGGATTTGTTTTCTTCAAGTTTTGGGTTTTTTTCCAGTTTGCCAATTGTGTTTTTTAGGGACTTGTTTTCTTCAGTGTACTTTTTTTCCAATTGGCCAGTTGTATTTTTTAAGGACTCTTCAACCTCTCTCGTTAGATTTTTTAAATCCTTCTTGAGCTCTTCTAAGAAGGCTTTTTGGGCTTTAGACCAGATCATATTCCTTTTTGATGTTGCAGCTGTGGGTTTGTTGACAATGTTGTCCTCTTCAGAATTTCTGTCTTGATCTCCACTCTTCTCATAATATGAATCTATGGTACGTTTCTTTTTACTCATGGTTTCTTTATTCCCTGGCCTTTAAAGAGATTAAACTCTCCTGCTGGGGAACAGAGGGTAGAGGGTACTGACCCAAGCTTCTTGTGTTGGGAGCCTAGGTCTTAGTCACTGGCTTTATGTGCTGGGGCCTCTTGTGTTGGAAATTGGAGGCTGTAGGGTTTTGGCAGCTTACCTGGTGTTGGGCTGGAATCAGCTAAAGGCTAGAACTTTCAGGCAATTCTAGGTTGCCTACTTTTCCGTTTCCTTTAGCTTTCTTCAGCCCCTTTTAGATGGGTGCTGCAGGGTGTTTATCTGCCTGAGGCCCCTTGCAATGCTGCCTCCCTTGTTTCTGCTAATGCACTGGGAGATTCCTTTGCGGTATGCCCAGGGACCTTGTGGTTTTCTGAGCTGGTTTCCACTGGTTCTCCCACCCTCACTGAGGCACTTGGAGGCCCAGGTGTTGGTGTTTGCCTGCTCTACCACCTGGGCTTCAGGATCTCTTCCTGGTTGACAGTTGGAGGATGTATGGTTCTGACAGCTTACCTGGTATTGGGTTGGAATCAGCAAGGCTGGGACTTTAGGAAGACTCTAGGTTGCTTTCTTCAGCTCCTTTCAGATGAATGCTGCAGGGTGCTTATCCACCTGGGGCCCTTTGTAGTGCTGCTTCCCTTATTTTTGCTGAGGCACTGGGAGACCCTTTGCTGGGCTGCTGTACTGCTGTTCCCTGTCTTCCAGTTTGGCTGTTCCAGGTTGTTTTTTTTTTCTAGGGTGATATTTTCTGGGTGTTTAGAGGTTGATAGTGGAGAGTGAGAGCGAATACCTTTTTACTCTGCCATCTTGGCTCCCGGACTGTTGTTGTTTTTTAAACCGAAGGCAATATTAAATACCAGCACCTTAAGGCATAGTTCCTAAAGACTTCTTTATCTAGAAATGAGTTCATGTAGAGAACCCAACTATGCAAGATATAGCTTAGGTCCAGAACGCAAAGGCTCTTAACCTGGGGTCTGTGAAGTTGTTTAAAAATGTTTTGGTAAGTATTTCAGTATAATTGATTTCTATTGTAATCCTGTATATTTTGTTTTGTATTTAAAAAACATTATTCAGAGAAGGTGTCTAGAGGTTTGACCACACTGCCAAAGCAATCCATGATATAAAAATGTTTAGGAACCCCTTGGTCTAGAAAGTAGGTCCCTCCCCAAACCTCTGAGCAGCAAGACATGTTAAAGCGCATGCAGTTAAGCGCCTTTTATTAACAGGCTAACCTCTCATTTTATCACTTAGAATGACTTTCATTTATTTTAAATAACAATTCTAGCAAGCTATCTTTTCAAGTCAG